ACTCACCAGTGACGTATAAACCCAATAACCCAACAGTGACGCTTTGAAGCCACCGGTCGGCCTTATTGACATTCCCCAGAAGGCGCTGTCCTCCATAAGAATGAATGGAATTCTACAGTATTTGTTGTTGTGGACAGCAACATTATAACGATTAGTTACCGGAGTGTAACTCCAGTTCTATGAGTGGAGCGGAGCCCCATAGGGGAGCTCTGCTCCTAGTGGTTTACCCTCTGCCCTAAGGCAGCAACAGCCTGAAGCAAAATTATGCACACACCTGCAGCCAATGGGAGCACAGGTGTCCCTATAAGAGGGGATGCCTCCCCTCAATCAGCCTCCCGAGATATTATCTTCAGCGAGACTAGAGAGGGTCGGCAGGGCCTTAAGTCCTATGGGGCTCCGCTCCACTCATAGAACTGGAGTTACACTCCGGTAACTAATCGTTCTATATCGTGGAGCTCCGCCCCATAGGGGAGCTCTGCTCCTAGTGGTCTAAGGCGGAGCGTAGCGCTCCAAAATGTACTCCCTGCCGAGCCTAACACTTCCCATTAAAAAATGAAAAGGTCAAGCCTAGCAATGGCCGCAACCAATTACCGCAGTACTGCAACTAAAAACCCCTACGGGCGTCACAATATACCGCGTCATCGGTTAAAGACCCGCCCCACCTAGTTCAATGGCAATGCCAATGACTAGTGGGCAGATCACCAGAATAAAAACTACACTAATCTGTACTAGCAGATAGATGTGCCTCAATATCCTGTGAAAACACCACCGACCACTAATGGAATGACACCAAGTGTCACTCTACATTATGTGCCCAGTAGACCGCCTCACTCACTCAATGGAATCCCAGAGATTAGTAGGCAGAAACAAAATATAAGTCATACTAAACTGAACAATCAGATAGATGACCTCACATTCTGTCAATTCAATACATGCCCCTACTGTACTGACCCTGTCAGTCAAGAGTCATGCCACAAGATATGCTTTCCATCCAAAGCGGACCTGATAGAAACCTGTGTCCATCTTCCTGCTTTTCTCTCTTCTAGCTCAAGATTCCCTTTCAGCTATGCTGAGTACAATCGAGCCAGAGAGATAGAAAGCCTATCTATCAAAAAACATGTTTTCCTAACCAAAGCGGACCTGATGGACACCCATGTCCACAGTCCTGCTTTTTTCCTCTCTTTCTTGCTCAAGATCTCCCTTCAGCCACGCTGAGTACAGATCGAGCCAAAGAGTTAGAAGACATATCTAATAGATAGAAACGGATAAATGGAGACAGTGTCGACTGGGTTGGTGGAATAGCCCAAGGCGGGCCCCCCTCGAAAGGGAGAGGAAACATCCGCACGTTCTGAGAGAATCGGAGGCCTTGATACGTCAGTTACGTCTGTAACTCTAGTATTCCGGCCCTCCGTGAACGCAGCACGGTTTTGAGCTGCACTGACTGAGGTATTAACCTGAGACAGAGCGCCCTCCCCGGATAGCAATTGCGTCATCATGTCATTGTCTGACTGAGACTGCTGCTTGTCATGAGATCCGTCCACTGCAGTACTCAACAGAGTCTGGAAAGTGTGGTCTCTAACTGGTACCACAAGGTGGACGCCACAATACCTCTTTTTTACTGGTCTCATGAGGTTGCTCAACAGCACACTCTAGGTGTGGTGAGCTGCACTCAGAGCAGTGGGCATTGTTACGTTCTGAATTAACCGGGGGCGCCCATACATTGGTTACACCTGTAACTCTAGTATTCCGGCCCTCCGTGAACGTCGCACGGGTCTGAACTGCGCTGGCTGAGGCGTTAGCCTGAAGCAAGGCGTCATTCCCGGCTAGCGGCTGCGTCTTCATGTCATACTTAGACTGAGACAGCTGCCTGCTATGTGAGACCTTTACTACAGAGCTCCTAGGAGTCTAGTAAAATATCTTTATTAGGTGAGCTAAGGCTACGCCTTGCTACCTTTTCCTCTTTCCTCTCCTGTGTGTGTTCAACTACGCACCCTCGGTGGGTTGAGCTACACTCAGGATGGTGAGAGAAAATCATAGGACGTGAAGTACTCTGCAATGCGTCATGGAAAAAGGGCTCTTTATTATTCACATAACAACAATAAACATTTCCCTCCATGCCCTGAACAATAGGGTGGGGGGGAACAGTGGGCTCTGTCGCGTCCAGCGCCGAGCCGTCATCCGTCCTCTCCCCCTCGTCCCGTCATTGACGCCGTCGTTTCTGGCTGACCTTCTGGTGTTGCCAGGACGGTTTTGTGACGACCTCTCTCGCCGGCGGATTCGTCGCCACCACCGTCGTCGCTGGGGGGGCCGAGCCCGCTCGCCTGCTGTCGGTGGTAGGCGCCTGGCCCGTCGCCTCCCTGTAGTTCTACTGGGGGCGTTAGAGGTTGACGGGTTAGTTGAGGCCCTGCTAAACTTGCCTGCCAATGGCAGGTGTTTAGCCAGGTGCTTCCTCTCTTCGTCTAGCTTGCCAAAACGTTCCGTCGCCTCCTTAACGGCGACCCCAAAGAGGCCCTCGCTAGAGACGGGAGCGTTTAGCAGCGAGGCTCTGTCCGTCTCCTTCATGACTGTCATTGACAGCCAGAGGTGACGTTCCATGACCACCGAGGTGGCCATGGACCGGCCTGCGCATTTCGCCGACGCCTGTGTCAAATGAAGAATAGCGCCAGAAATCCTGGACGCCTCTTCAATCTCCTCGCTGGTCAACTCAGACCTACCCGTTGTTAGACGGGATAGGGAGGCCGCGAGGAGGGCAATGTTGTTAGCCGCTGACACAGCCTGGGCTCCCAGCGTAAAGGACTTCTCAGCCAGCTGTGCTGTGAGTCTGTCCTTTTGTGCTGGCAAGGTGGCTTTCTTGGAGGCCGCCCAGGGACTCGAACCCGGCACTAGATACGCCGCCATGGCGCTCTCGAGCCTAGGGATTCCCTTAGCAGCCCACTCACGTCCAGCCACTCTCGTGAATGGGGTGTACACTTTGGCCGGCGAACGCGCCACCAGGGGTGTATCCCACGAGCCCTCGACATATTTTCCGAAGGAAGGCATAGCAGGAGCCATCGGCTCAGCTGCCTTTCTCGGTCTAGAGTAGGGGCCACCCTCCATCATGTCGACCTCCACAGGGGGGGGAGCAGGGGGCAGCGCTATCTCAAGTCGATTGGCGGCTCTCTCAATGAGTTCGGGAAAGTCCGCACGCAGAGAGGCCGCTGCGAAGGACAGGGCTGCTGACGTAACAGAGCCCGTGTCGTCATCACACAAGGAGCCTTCAGATCTCACACTCCCCAAAGAGAAGGGGGTCTTGAAGGTTGGCGCCAGAGGGTCGGATTGTTCCATTGGAACATCCATCTCTGCGTCTCTCTCCTTGTCATCCCCTGAGCCAGCACTGTCCGACGACGCCTCTGAAGCAGAGGCGAGAAGAGACAGTACATCCTCTAGGGGGATATCCTCCCTAAAGAACGCCCAACGCTGCTTCCTCACCTTCATAGGAAGGAGGGCGCAGGAGGCGCAATTAGGGGGATTGCCGGTCCCTTCCTTGGCATGCTGCGGCCCCAAACACACGAAACAAAGGTCGTGGGGGTCCGCAGATGGAGGAGCATCGGCACTGAGCCCTGAAAAGGGCTTTTGGGGGTGGAAAATCTCCTGGCGTGCTCATTTTAGAAGACGTCAATGGCTGGCTCATCGACGGCGATTTCTTCCTGAGTCTTCTTACTTCTTACTTCTTGGCTTCTTCAGTCTAGTCGTCCAGTCGCTGAAGATAATGGGAGGCTGATTGAGGGGAGGCATCCCCTCTTATAGGGACACCTGTGCTCCCATTGGCTGCAGGTGTGTGCATAATTTTGCTTCAGGCTGTTGCTGCCTTAGGGCAGAGGGTAAACCACTAGGAGCAGAGCTCCCCTATGGGGCGGAGCTCCACGATATAGAACCTTTTTTTTTTTTTTTTTTAAAGACACTAGGACTTAAAAATATATATTTATGTTTAGCTCACATATAATTTTAAAGTATGCATTAAGCTGTCTGTAATTGAGTAAACGTGGCAAAAACAAAATGTAGACATTAATAAATGCATTTCTAAAGTTTCCAAAATATTTTCTACAACGTAGGGCAGCCAAGATGGAGGTGGCTTCAAAACAGCGCCCCCTGGGTGTCATCTGGAATCATTGGTACTCATACACCCCCAGCCACTGCAGAAGAAAAAGGGTACAAGACTTGTCAGGCAGCTGATTTCTCAGGTCACAGAGTTCTTCTTACATTCCTTGTCTGATTGTAATCTATACCCTGTCTTTGACTGTTGTGTCTGTATGTAGACAACTATTTTCAATAAGCCCGCACACACACAGGTCACTGCAAGACTAATTAGGTAACGCATTTGAGGGTTTATTGTATTATAGCTGCATTACATGAGAAGATAATGTATTTATTCAAGTGAACTTTAAAAGCTAACAACATACAATGTTTATTCTACATCAAAAAGTTCCATCGTGGGAAGTTATAGACATTTCAAAACAACCATCTTCAGCACCTCTCATGACTTGACTTATCTAAACCAAAGATAGATATTACATAAAATGTCCAGAAATGTCCAGCTGTTGGATAGCTTTTAGGGAAATATAGGTATAGAAGGACAACTAATACTGGTACCTTCAACATATCAAGCAAGTGACTTTATAAATCCACTGATACGAAATAACAAAACAAACACTACATTAAATCAACACATTCAAACAGCCCAACAAAATTACTGAATACTATCCAAGGGCTAACATACAACAAAATGTTTTCCAACAAATGTTAACACAAAATAAAACATGCATTATATATCTCCAAAAGGTCAAAGTCCATCAGGTTTAGTGATGCCATAACCATATCAATTAATCAGTCCCTAAAATAAAACGTTATATATATATATATATATATATTAATTAGTCTCCTAATTTAGCTCAAGTGATTTAAACACGTCTTCGACATGTTGGAAAGCAACAATAAAAACAAGTCTCTTGTTTTCATTCAAGATGACATTTCCCGAGCTCTAACCAGTTTAATGGCGAGTTATCACAAGACATAAGTTAAAAACATTTTTTTAATATTTCTATTCAAATGGTGGCACTTCAATGAATAGGCTAATGGCATGAATAATATAGCATTTTGTGTTCTGGGTTTGTCAACCTCAACGTGTAACAAACAGTTACTGATCAACTTTATTTAACCTGCTCTGCACAGCATAAAGCTTATGAAATGTGATGTTATAAAAATGGGCAATTATATGATTATAAATATATAGGCCTTTCCCTTTTATGTCATAAAGTCTATGAAATGTGTATAAATGTTCTTTGTAACAGTAGCATTTCATGAACGTTCTACCCTTTTCCGATGACACTCTCCAAAATAACAGGACAACGGATGTCGAGCACTCCCTTCCATGCGAACGCAGATTCACAACGTACCCTAATCTAACTAAAAAGGACATTGGGAAAGATTCCTCACATAAAACACTAGGGTCAGTTTTTAGGTATGAATCTACACAAAATCTCACTAACAGATCAGATCAGGTGTCACAAAGTGGATGTCGCAATACAAGACAGTGGAAGGTGGATTAGTCAAAGCTTGTACGTGCACCACAATCGCTTGTTGTCATTTTCCTGAAGCACCTCTAATGCACGTACCCCGACATTCTAGACAAAACGTAGCTGTGATACTACTTCATCTAAAGCCTAAGGGAAGGAGGGTTAGGGATAGGGGGGCGATTGCAGTCTCAAGGAATTAGAACAACCACTGGGGGGGGTGGAGGAGTGGATTTAGCTAGCTGCTAAGTCTTTCCTTTCTTCGCCCCTTTTTCAAATAAGGTGTCATCAGCTCCAGCTTTGTATTGCTCCTGGCTCGGTAGGTAGGTTGGCGGTCCTAGTTGGAGCTCACAGGGTTCTGTATGCTGGGGTCCTGGGGAGCGGTGGCCACCGGTGGAGGCGCCGCATTACTGAAGAGCAGGGTCTTGAGGATCATCATGTAGAAGGGGCTGTAGACCTGCTTGTTGAAGTTGACCAGGCTGACGAAGGTGACCGCCAAGGAGGTGAGCTCCGGTTGGATCAGCGCCAGGCCTCCGGGCGTCGGGGGCGGGTTCACGTGAGAGTTGGGCGTGGCGAGGAGCACCCGGAAGTACTGCTGGACCCTTCCCTCTGGAGAGGAACGGAGAAGAGGCACAGAACAAACAGAGTGGTCAGAAAAACAAGCACGTAGCAACTGTGAGCTCATCAAGCAATTCAATGAATTAACTGTAGCAAGATTTCACACAATGTGCTTGGCTAAGAACATTGCATTAAATATATACAATTAAATAGTTAGTGAGCTATGTCAGGCCCTCAGGTGTCGTGTTGCTTACCCACAAGACTGCGGATAGGGTTGTTTTCCTGGGTGATGCTGGTGATCTGGCCCTTGAGGGTGACCTGGAGTTCTGGGGGCAAGGCTGGGTAGTTCCTCTCAGTCAGGGACTTGTTGAGCTCACAGCAGATCTGAGCACTGACGTTCCCCAGAGCCTCTGACAGGTTAAAGTCCCTGCAGAGTGGAGGAAGAGAGGAGAGGAAGTAGTCAGTCTCAATTTGCACATTGAAATTGATGTATCTGTATCTTATGTAGCACCTACGTGCTGTGCATGCCCTCCAGGAGCACGCTGGTCATCCTTTTGAGGCGCTCGGCCAGCGCGGGCAGCCCCGAGATGGGCCCTCCGATGGCGCTGTAGACAATGAGCAGCACGGAGGCCACAGCCTTTAGCAGCTGGAGCCTGCGCTGGAGCTCCTGCAGACGCACCTCGTCTGTCATCAGGGTCTGAGGGGGTTAAAACACACACACACAGAGAGACTAGACTTTAGACAATGGTTGTTTAACACACAAATGGCCATCACATATCGGGATGAATGATCAATTTAAGCCATTTTTTTCTTAGTCTCCCATTGACATCAATGCATGACTAAATGAACATTTGACATTAGTGGAAGTTAGGATTCGCCCCATGGAGACTAGATTTTAGACAATGGTCATTTAATAGACTTGTGGTTGTAAGTTGTTTGAACGCAATGGTACCTCTTTCAGACGCTTGTATCATATGGAATTCACACAAATTTCAGACACAAACAAACATTGTAGGTAATAGTCTATATGCAAATACACACCACAACTTCATTTGACCAAGTATAATACACAGAAACAGAAGCTAACACCTGTCAACATCCTTTACACAAACACATCCATTTCCCCTGTGAACATTCATCAACACCCTCGTCACTTGACAAACACACTGAATGTCACCTTTTCTTAATAACAAAAGACGAGTAATCCAATGGCAATCAAGGTATGTCTTGAATAAGCAAATAATGATTTTGAAACTGTCTGTGTACTAAGACACGCACAGCCCAACCCACCTCAGGCAGTGGGCTCTTGTGGTAGTCCCAGGTGAGGATGCGGATGAATCCACTGTTGATGACCAGGAGGGGACTTGGCAGGGCTTTCCCCACCTTCCCATGGCTGTTGGGCTGCTCCATGGTTGGCATGGAGAAAAGCACCTCCTCCAGAGAGGACTTGATCCACTCAGTGGTATGGTCCAACGCACCTGAGGAAGTTAGGGCATCAGTCATTTGTATGGCATTTAATAGTGATCGTCATCTTTCATTTAATGGCGTAAAGAAATCACACCCATGCTTCACATGCTGTACATACCACAAATCAAACATCCCCTAATACCATAAAGCAGTACAGGCACCTAATTGCCTTCTTTTTGGAAGAAGGCCAGCTGGAACTAAACATTGCACAGGAGCACACCCTGTTCAAACAATGAATGAATACTATGCTGGCCTTTAAGGACTCAACTGTATTTGTAAAGGATCAGGGAAATGATCCAAAGGCAAACGAAGACCAGCATGAAAAACTCAATATATACTTTATAATGACTAAAACCAAATCAAAACTGTGTAGAAATGATAATGGACCTCTATTCATACAGTTTATTGACTGTCCAGCTTGTTAATAATCATCGAAACCTAGACTGTTAGGGAGAATCAAAAATTCCCCAATCTATGGACAGAGGACTACTTTTAGCAAATTTGGACAGAGAGGAAATATAACCAATTTTCCGTGCGGCCCTTCTGACCTCGTTGAAGACTGAAAGCAGCCTCCGGGGCAAAATAAATTGGACTAGGCTATTACCTAAGCGCATCTTTCATTTTAGTCCTGTGCGGAACGGCGGTGTCATGTTCACATGGCACGATTGTAATAACTAGCATACACTTTTTCATTCTTCTGGGGGAGGTTGCCCCCGGACCCCCCACTAGGGTTCCCAGAGTTATGAACCCCTGTTATAACCTCATTCATATCAGAAAGGAGCAGTAGGTTAATAATAACAACGCAGACTCACTGGGAGTCTTCTCCACGATGCTCTGGAACTTGGCCCTCTCGTACTCCACTGACTGCCTCTGCAGATCGGGCCGCAGGCTCTGGATGGTGAAGTTCACCATGTCCATCTTCATCAGGTCCAGCACCCGGAAGATCTCCCTGTTCAATGTAATAACACTCTTAAAACATATGCTTTGGATTTGGCCTGCTCCAGAAGAAATACCTAGTGACTTGCCGTCATCAAACCCATGCCTCAACATCTGTACTTCAGCCCCCAACCATCTAGCTTTGGAAGATCTAAAAAGGATCAAATGGGTGCCAGCCATATATAGGGGATGGCTACAATTAGCCAAATAAATATTCCACACGGGTTGTAAACAAACATTTGTAGCCAAACGTACTTGAACATTGACACAACATTGTCGGGGTTCTCGCGGAGCTTTTTGACCTCGTCGTCGCGGACGGGGGCGCACAGCTTTCCCATGATGGTGACGATGTAAGAGGCCAGGCCCTGTATGTCCACCGCTTCCTTGTCCGCCTGCTGGCGAATCAGATCCATGTCCAGCACCTCCAGGATCTGAGTCCGCAGCCGATTGGCTCCCAGACTCAGGAACGACAGCAGGATCTGTTCATAGTAAATCGTTTTTTTTAAATGAAGGAAAGAAACAATATATAGCTAGAAGATATCAATCTTAAAAGCTATTAGCCCATTTTAAATACATCCTTCTTGCGTACATTCCTTGAAGTAATCATTGACCTAACACAATTGGACAGGTGAAAGAATGGATTCCACTACATAACTGTTGCTGGTCAGTTATTACAGCTCAGGGAGTTAGAAAGGATACATTTTCAAATTCTTCCAACAGGGTCATCTTACTGAAAAGATCACCTTTCCAACCATGGATTTCTCAAGTTTGATAGAGGGAAAAAGGGCCAAAGCTCACCTCTCTGATCTCCTCCAGCAGTTTGATGGAGTGCTCATACTCTGGTGGGTCATTATTCAGCTCAGACTCCAGGCTATCCCAGAACGCCTTGTGAACTATATCTTTGACTTGCTTCTCCAAACTGAAAAGGAGAATTGAATATCATCAGTTGTCAATTGGCATTTGAGTTGCCCAAGTGATGGCCATGTTCACTGGGTGTCCATTTTGAGGTGGTAGGTAGCTACCTGTTCTGAGGTAGGTAGGGCTGCTCCACATGGAAGTCACGGTTGACGATGATCTCGTGGGCCAGGGTCAGGTTGGACAGGTCCCGGGCAGAAGACATGACCTTCATCCAGTGTTATAGTTTTGGGCGGGCTGGCTATAAATAGGGGGCATTCAAATACAAAAAAACAAAAAGTGTTGAGAATTGCCATTTTGGCATTTGAAAGCTCAACCTAAGTGGGGAGAAGGCACACAGTGTTGCATTCCGATTCTCCATACTACTCCAAAAGTGATAACACCAATCCAATGCCTTTAAAATCAATGACGGGAAGTGTGCAGGTGCACACTTTTGGGAAAAGGGTAAAAAATCAAAATGCAGCTTTTTAGGGTGGCATTTTGACAAGCCCAAGAAGCCGTCCTACTAGACAGGGAGGAAGGACATCTACTCACAGGAGGGCGAGCTGTGCTTGCTGCTGGAGCAGTCACTGGTGAAGCTCTGGCGGGAGCAGTCCAAGTCACTGGCAGACATGATGCTGTCATAGCGGTCCGACGACGACTCAGCGTCGCTGCTGGCGTCCTCGCTGCCAGTGGTGGACATGGAGGTGGGCCGCTCGTCATTCCCAGGCATGGCGGGCTAGCGCTGCACGCGGGCACAGCAGTCATATGTTTAACATGTGGTTTGAATGCACTGGAATGTACCCACAAGTTTCTCTTATGGAAAAATAAGGGCTTTCTAAGTCTTGTGTACTGGGGGTCAGGCAGTTGTAACCAGAGCCTTGAGTTTGACCTTAAATTCACATTCACTGGCCATGAGCTAGTTAAACCTAGCTTAGCCTCCCTTTCCCAAGTCTGAGGTCCCCCAAGAAAAAATGGCACTACCTTACTGAAGACACTACTCCAATCTTTCAACTGCTTCTTTTTGGTTTGGTGTGTTACCACTAGGTCAAAATGTAAGTGTGTGTTGTGTCTGTGTTCCCGTTGCTAGGAGAGGCGGCATGTAAAACACCACATGACAGTATGTTAGGCCAGCTGTTAGGCCAGAGTGGCCATGGCAACAGGAGGAGGGCCATCCACTTGTACCCCAGTCAAGAGAGATCAAAGGATCAACACACACACAGTTTCCAAAACGATTCGGACATTAGTTTTGACTTTAAAGTGTGTGCTGATTTAAAAGAGGGATATTATCACCATAGTTCAGTCCGTACAGCCTACTTCTCCAATAACAAAACAAAGGGACAGTGTTAGGAATGGGATCGCATGCGTCTCCAGGGTAGCGTGATAACAGTGGGCTTCTCAACAGCCAACTGTCCACAGATCCAGTTACACTTCACTGCTTAGATTAACAGGGAAATCATTATCGTGTCTACCTCACATCGGTCCAAGCAACATAAAGGCAGTGCCAGCCATCCCATCATTGAGATCCCAAGTAAACAACTTGGCCTACACTTTTTAGAAAAATAAGTGTTGTTGATGCAAAACAATTGAATTTAAGACCTAGGCCAATAGTTTTAAAATATTCCTTAAAAATTCCCATACAATTCACTATGTTGAACTACCTGGCCAAAGTGCCATACACAGAAGACACATTATCAGACATGTTCAGCCCTTTTGGGCTATCTGGCAAAGAAAACACCAACATCTTGAGTCCAGAGATACAGTTAGGTGGTGCTTCCTTCTTATGGAGGTAGGCTGTGATTTTATAGTCTCAGCCATGGCCTTACATTCATTATCTAGCTATGTAAGGCACTGCATCTCAGTGCTAGAGGCATCACTACAGACCCTGGCTGTATCACAATCCGGCCGTGATTGGGAGTCCCATAGAGCGGCGCACAATTGGCCCAGCGTCGTCCGGGTTTGGCCGGGGTAGGCCGTCATTGTAAATAAGAATTTGTTCTTAACTGACTTGCCTAGTTATTCTCCAGTCAGACATGGCAAGGTCATAACCCATATCTCAGCAGTCATAAGAGAAAGGTAATGTCTGAAGTTGTTTGATACAGTAATATATTTGCTTGCCAGATCAGCCCATGTCTACTGTGGTGTCTGAAGTGATGTGCCCAGTCCTACCAATGAAGGATAAACAGGCAGGTCATTCAGAGAGAATTCCTAATGCAAATGAAAGTCAAAACCATTCAAAATGACTGCATCCGATTAGGTTGCTTTGACACAGAGGCATTCATAAGGCAACCCAGGACAGGGCTCTACGCTTACTTTTTTTCTTCAAGGAGCATGTGTGCGCCTAAGTTGAAAAATGTAGGGGCACACAAAGACATTTAGGAGCACAATGAAAGTAAAAATGTTACCCATAGACAAGAACCAGGGAAACTAGAAAGGCCAGACAACTGGAATTCTTAGCATTTTGGTTGTTGACTGTAAAAAAAATATCACATGCACATTGGGGCATCCTTAATGTAATCCCTGCAGAGCAACTGACACTTCACCACCACTTGACACTGCACAGTGGATATATAAATAGCCTAGGATATGTCTATTACTGTAGTTAGGAGAGTTAGTTCGATATGATCACATTACAATCACAAAGCGTTCCGTATCCACATGAAGACAAAATAGCTACCTTGTGTGTGCAGTGCACAGACTATTTCAGTGAACAACAGTGGGGAAAATAGCTTTTCATGGCAACACCCTGTCCTTGGTTGATTCCCCATCGCTTTGTCTAAACAGACTGTTACAATGGTTATCAGTCTGACCGAAGTTTCCCTAAAAAGATGCAATAGTCTCTACAAGCCAGAATGTTGAATAAAATTATATTTACACTTACTTTACCAGTTGTACATGCGGTTGGTCCTTTTGGAGGTAGGAGGGATGTGGTGCCGGGAGGTTCTGTCACTTGTATTTTCAATATTTTCAGGCATTGCACAATATGTCAACAATAGCCTAATGTAACCGAAGGTATTTGACCAAAGCACGTTTCCTTGCGATCAGCTGTGGTTCGGTTAGGCTCAGACAAGTGTTTGTCACGTACGAAAAGTCCGCCACAGTGGATGCGTCATAATACCCATAATAACACGCAAATAGTTCCAATGGTTTTTCCGTCATTAATTTTTCACATCGTGAAATCTAATTAATTGTGTGTTTGTTTTAGGCTGACCTTAGCATTACTTTTTGATAGCCGTGTAATTCTCTCTTTTACAAGGTGAGTTTTATCAATATATTCGCCTCAATGTACTATCAATAGTTAGCATTGCACATTTTTTAAAGTTACCTTGTCCGAGAGAGATTTGCGCGGTTATCAAAACAATGGAACGAATGGCATCAAACACATGGAAAACATGATACTATTCCGCACCAGCCATTACCACGAGCCCGTCCTCCCCAATTAAAGTGCCACTAACCTCCTGTGCTAAAATCCCAGATGGAAAAATGAATGGTGAAAAAACGATTGGAACCATTTCCGGGTTTTATGACTCATACTCAATTGCATCAGTATTGAAAATAAAAACCGGAAATACCAACCATATAGACCATTGTACTGAAATTCGGGCTAAGAACACTTCCCTGCGGATACTTTGTGTCAGATTACCTCCTACATAAGGACAAAAATCAGCAGACAAGGGGTAAATGTATGCACTCACTAACTGTAAGTCGCTCTGGATAAGAGCGTCTGCTAAATGACAAAAATGTAAATGAGTAAAGTACGTTCAAATGAAGTTTATTCAACCGTCTGACTTGTGATGGGACTTCAAAAATTGAGCCTACATGTTAGAGACGAGTCTTCCACTCTCAGATTCGTCGCTCAGCCCTACAGGATTTGTTACAGCAAATTGAATTTTCAGTTAAACTGCAGTGCACTGTACGAGCTGCACACACAAAACAATATATCCACACACGCGTCACTGATAAGTACACGTGATCCTGCAGCACCAAAACAAGAGAGCTGGACAAGACCGAGAAGAGATCTGCTTGTCCCAAAAGAAACGCAAGACAATAATGTCGCTGAAAGAGTTCGCATTGATAGCTAACGTTAGATTAATCAGATAAGGAGCAAATGGCTTTTTAATAACTAGATTATATAAATTGTTATTCGTGTGTTTGTAAACAATAATGCTAACGCCAACTCCCCAATTTCAAGTGGGTTCAGGTTTGTAACGTTACGGTTACATACATCCAGCTCAATCACGCCAACATGGATAAACATGACCCCAACAAGACATTGGTAAATAGCAACATAGCATAGGTGATTGTTGACAAGCTGAAAGGGTTTCGCTATCTAGCTAAGTTACAAACTAGCATGTGTTACTGATAACAAAAAATATACGTCGAAATATAGCTATGTTTTACCTTTTTCACGTCTCCTCGGAGGGAGATTAGGCCATACACCAAAAAATGTGTAGTTTGTAAAGGAGGTTGAGTCAAGTCAGCTTACTGTGCTTGAGTATTTTTAAAGGTCCAAGTCCTCAGCTGGCTTGCTGTTCATTTTGGGCTAAACCGTTCCGGGGGGGGGTACTTTGTTGGGTAACGTTAATACAAACCTAGACCGTATATACGAACAGCAATTTATGGATAGATAGCTATCATTATATAATGAATACATATTTTATTAATCTCAATATATGGTATTATCCCTGGATATAGCTCCTTGAAAGAAAACATCCACTTCGATATATGAAACGTCCATTGTTTACAGTAGACGCACCTCCCTTTCCTTCTCGATGAATGGTAGGCTCCGCTTCACATGGGACTTCTTTGTTTACGGATGTGACGTTTGTGAAATATTAATTACATTTTTACAAAACATTAAACAATACACAATGATTACAGACATTGTTTTTGATAATTAGTATCTAGTACATGACATCTCGAACGTCTCACAACTATTTTCATTTTGTGTCGAGAGAGTGTGGAAAAAGGTTAGTGCTATCTGCGGTCCTTGGGGCGTCCCTACCCTAAAAACAAATATTTTTTTTAACTAACCGCTGACCAGGGATCCCAGAGAGCAAGAACCGTGTGGAAAATTCCTCTCACAACTTGTACTTGTCCCCTCCCCCTTTCAAATGAGACTGAAAGGCACCGGAAGGTCACAGCTAATTTATCTTTGTGTCTGTGCTGTGCAATAAGGTTGTATGGTATCCTTTGTTCTGTGTTGGTAGGTAAACGATGCAAAACAAATACATGCAAAAGGACTGCTCTGTTTGACCCAACAGAGCAATCTCCGATATGGGAAGTGGAGTGAATGAGAGCATATTCTGAACTGATCAACCAGGTGGAAATGATGTGGCTGCTGTGAGGCTGTCAACATTAAAAAGACTTTAAAACATATTTTTATTGCATTTACCGTATTTATTGCATTTATTTTTTCTCACATCCATTCCAATTATCTAAAAAAATTTGAGAACAGTATCATAATGATAATGGACAGTATTTTACATTACATGATGTATGTGGGTATCGTTTACATTACATGATGTATGTGGACAGCATTTCACATTACATGATGTATGTGGGTAGCATTTTACATTACATTATGTAGGTGGGTAGCATATTACATTACATGATGTATGTGGGTAGCGTTTTACATTACATTATTTGGTAACAAGTTATATTTTCATAACACTATTTGCTCAGAAACACCTTCAGCATTGTTTCATGGTAATACATTTACATTTACGTCATTTAGCAGACGCTCTTATCCAGAGCGACTTACAAATTGGTGCATTCACCTTATATTTTTTTAATTTTGGTGAAGTTTTTTTCATAAATTCATCAATTTTGGTGAAGTTTTTTCATAAAATCATCATTAAAAAAAATAAAAAATACCACCTTCTTTGTGCTAGAGGGTTAACAATACAAGAACACCATGATAACAGGGTCCCTCTTTTTCATCCCTCATTCTCAAACCCTGTTCAGTGCAATTTACCATTGTTCTTGTGTTGTCAGTTTATTACCCTGAAACAATAACAGAATCACTGGAATCAGCGGGTATCTGGGCAAATAATGAATTAATTGTGAGTAACTATAACTTGTTATCATATTATTATCTGGACTATTACCCGCCCCACCACCCCATCTTTTTACGCTGCTGCTACTCTGTTAATTATTTATGCATAGTCACTTTAACTCTACCCACATGTACATATTACTTCAACTACCTCAACTAGCCGGTGCCCCCGTACATTGACTCTGCACCGGTACCCCCCTGTATATATAGCCTCCCTACTGTTTTTTTATTTTACTTCTGCTCTTTTTTTCTCAACACTTTTTTGTTGTTTTATTCTACTTTTTTATTAAAAATAAATGCACTGTTGGTTAAGGGCTGTAAGTAAGCATTTCACTGTAATGTCTGCACCTGTTGTATTCGGCGCATGTGTCCAATAAAATGTTATTTTATTTGATTATCTTATTACCAATTTTTGCTGTCATGACAAGACATGGGTATGATAGACATTTATATTATATTTCACATTTGTAATCGTAGTATATTCTGTCCAAACAATGAAACAACTATTGAAACAGTGTGCAAAAACAGGACATTCAACAGTCAGGTTTGGTCTCATTTGTTTGCCAATACAATATACAAACATTTCTGTGAGTACATTAGTACCGATGTCTTCCACAGTGGCATTTTCAAGCCTCCTTTTAGGTTTACCACAGGGGTGGAATTGGAGAAAAGGCACTCTGGGAACTGACCTAAAATCCTATGACTTTATGTTAAAATTAAAATGTATTACATGTTAAAATTAATTCATCTTGGGAACTCTCAAAACTCCCACACATTCCCCCTCTATTTTGTATTTTATGTGGACCCCAGGAAGAGTAGCTGCTGCATGTAAAACAGCTAATGGGGATCCTACCATCCCAATTCCATGGTTACAGAATGATGCTGAGACTCAGATATTTCACTTTTAAATGTATGCCAAACAAAAACCATTGATTGCAAAGTTAAACTATACAGCTGTATGCACAAGGACACCTTTTGACCATTTCCACTGAACATTGTATAAAAACACATTTACTTGATGGTCAAATCTCCCTCTGTTTTTTGTGACCAAGTTTTCCAAAAACTCTAAAAATATCTACTCTGAATAAAGATTCAAAGTTGTCTGCAGAAAGAATGGGGTGTCAGCAATGACCTGAATTGTGAAAAACTGAGTTTAAATGTATCTGGCTAAGGTGTATGTAAACTTCCGACTTCAACTGTACCATCTAGGTGTAGAGATCAGTGAGTGACTCATGCTAAGCTACTCTCGGAGATGGCAGGTTAGGTAGAAAGGTGTGGCTGCTATTTATGTTTCCACATCACCTGGTTGTCTGATGCAGGCAGGAAGTTTATCAAAGTACTTGTGTACTTTTATCATAGTTGTATAGGCCTAACTCCACATTCAAAAGGTGAACTTGGAGCATAGTTTATTCTCTCTAATGATTTCTAATCATTTTAAATTATCGTAGAAGGCTGTCAGAGACAGTGTATATAATAAAAGAGGGAGCAGTTAAATGGTTGGTCCACACCCCCTCGACAATGAGTAGCCTTAATGGCCATGTACTCTTATAATCTCCACCCGGCACAGCCAGAAGAGGACTGGCCACCTGAGGTTTTAGGCTTGGTTTCTGTATAACCACTTTGTGACAACTGCAGATGTAAAAAGGGTATTATAATACATTTGATTGATTGAACTTCACATGTTGGTGCTTATGGGTCCTTGCACATGGAAATGCCCCACTACAAATGAGTCACTTAGCCCCAAAACCATTTATTCAGATTATGAAAAGTTCTGTATTCTTTATTTTTTCGAATGTAATCACATGAGCGACAGGCATGCTCAAGTCCAAACCACCATCCCTGGACTTTAAAGTTATTTCGCCAGTTGAAGTACCTCATGTATTCTTCATTATTCTGGTCGAGAAAGAGAAGCTGCTTTGCCAGCTCCTCTGTAGAGGAGAAGTCATTCACATGGATGAAAGAATCCCTTGGGATAAATTGCTCGTAGTTGTCCCTGGATGGACCTAGAACAATGGGCACTGCTCCCAACTTCATAGCGTTGAACAGCTTCTCTGTAGCATAGTCTTTGTAGATGGAGTTTTCAAATGCCAGGTAGAATTTACAGCTGGACAGAGTCTTTAAGTATTCTTCGTTTTCTATGTATCTATTAAAATGTCGCCCATAGGCCTCTACTTTGACATGCCTACTGAGCTCGTTGAACACCTGTACCCTCTTGTAGTTTGGGTTCCAGTTGCTCACTACCCAGCAGACTAATTTGTCCTTCTTGGGCAGCTCAAAGCTCTTATCCTCACTGGTTACCTCGACAAGCGACCCATAAGGAACCTTAATGTCAGAATCCAGTCGATAACTTGCAGTCAAATTGAACAAGTTGTCAACACCAGGAATCCTGTTTGTGTTAGCTGGTGATTCTGCATTCCACCACACCCATTTCTGGAACCATGGACGTTGCTCTTGGGGCATGTTCTTCAGGTCTCCATGGATGTCTCTATGGTGGAAGATGACACCGTGCGCCTTGCTGTAAAGGTTTTTATCTACTGTTAGGTGACAGCCTTTGATGTTAAAGTAGGCACAAGAGTCTATGTCAAAGGCGTGACCAAATGGCCACATCCAGATCAAAATTATAGTATCTGTGTCTGTGTCTCCGTCATCATCAGCCTGAATGGCTGTCTGGGCATGGTGTGTTTTCTGCCCTGTGTGGTTCCCTGCCCTACATACTTGAGGGCAAGCAGGACAAACAGCCTTCCCCTCTTGGGATGCCTGGTCAGTAGGGCATGAGGGGAACTTGATCTGGGGTTTGTAGTAAATGAAGAATATGCCCACGAAGCACGCCATTAAAAAACAGCCAATCAGAACAGGCCGTAGAACCCCCTGGGAAGCCGTAGTGGACATACTTTGACCCTTTGGAAGAGAAAAGAGACCAATCAAAACCACTCTAGAATATCAACAACAACTAGAAAAGTACATTTCCCACCCCCAATCACACACACACACACAAAATGAGTGTGCTTACTAGCATGTTCTAAAGTATTTATGGTTGTGAAATACGTTTTAGTATTGGTAGTGACTGATTATTGCTGAAAAGTAGGTAGATAGAAAGATTGATTGAAATGTATTGAATAGCCTGAGCATGTGAAGGTTGGGTTGGTGTCTCTATAAAGTTTTGAAAATGTCACATTTGAAATGTCTTCCATTGGGTTCTTGTAGCCTGAAGTAGGGTCTAGAATTTTAAATGTTTTGCCATTTTAATGCATTGAGTTTTATGCAAATATGGCTATAGTATGAAAAGTACTGAAATGCTGCACATTTCAAAGACGACTTAGTGTTGATAGCTCAACCGGTTTAACACTAGGAGAGCCGAAAGTGTCATGTTGACTCAAAACAAAAACTTCTTAAATTCATGATGCTCCTTAAGACCTGTCCTTAACAAATTAATAATATTTGTGACTGCATTTATTTAATTGATTTTAACACTTGAATTGTGGGGTTTTAGTGGTTTTTCC